TTCTAAACTCTCCTTGCCATCCTCTGAGTTTTCCTAATCCTGTCTGGCCAGTTCCTCCACAAATTCCTCTGCAGCTTTGCCTGACATCCTTTGAAGCGAGTGTCACTGGAGTCTCTGTAAGCAGAGGCAAATGTGAATTGTCACTTCTTAGAGAGAACCATGGCTTCTCAGAGGGCCAGCCTCCCTGCACTGGGGTGATGGGGGATGCCATGTGGCTGCTTTTGGACAGGGCACGTATGGATATTCTCGCGGGGGGCAGGCTCCTGGTCTCCTGGTCCCGCCAGCTTCTCTCCTTGCCCTGACCTGCAGTGTGGTCCCTTTTCCTTTTTTCCTAATCAGTTGTTACTCTGAAGCCAGCATCTTCACCTGGCTATCTTGCATTTAAAAATACATACTGATAAAGTCATACAGTATTACAGTTTTTGCTGTGCAGTTAAAATCCTGCCATGTTTGCAGATAAAATTTAAATGTTGGGATATAATTCATAAGGGAAGAGGCCTTAGAACCTGTACCCAGCATGCCCTGGGTTCTGTGTGACCCATTTACACATGTTTTTATGCCCACAAGGCTGCCCCATTGGTGTGCCCTATGCACCTCATGATTCTCGCCCTCTAGGTACCACTCACCACTTCCTGAGCTCCTGGTTCTGTCCCTAATGACCCCGCAGCCCCAAGCATGGTAGGAGAGTAAGGGAGGATCCTGGCTGACCTCTGAACACCCACACTCCCTTCCGCCTCTCTCTGGCCTAACTCCTGCCCCTCCTGTCTGCATTACTTCTTTACCTGTAGGCTCTTCCTCACCACCTCCTCTAAATCCAGAACATCCTTCATCCAAATGGATCTGCTGCACCCTCCCTCCATCCTCCTCACATCTCCCTGACACCAGAACCTCACCTTCACCCCTTCCCTCAGGAAGCCTGGGTTAGGGGATCCAAAAATGGATGAGATGTGGAGCTCCTGATTTTCTAGGGGGAACAGCTTGTCCAAACAGTGGAGTGAGCAAATGCTGGCTGTTGCAGAGGCCAGAGCAGGGCGTGGTCAACTCTGCTGGGGTGACCGGGGGCCTGAGGATGCTTCCCCCAGGTCCAGGCACTAGAGCTGAGTGTCCACAGAGAAAGCGGTCACCAGAGTGATAGATGGGAGAGGATGGGGAGTGCCCCATGTTGAAGGCACAGCCTGGGTCCCAATCCCATGCACGAGCGAGGAGCTGCACAGAGGGGCTGGAGGTGGGGGGCACCCTGCTCTGTGGCCCAGGGCAGATGGATGCCCAGCACCTCCCTAGAGCATTTCCCGTTGGCACACCAGTGGATAGGGTTCACGATGGCTCCATCTGTGAACTCGTGAGATAAATAGGCCAGCCTCTCTTCTGACGTTCTTTCTGTTGGAAACTTTCATCTGCCTTCCAAACAGCTGGATTATAAGCACTGCAACCCTTTTTCTTCCTGAGGGCAGGCCTGGGTTCCCACTCCACCTCAGGCTGGGGGCTGTCAGCCTTCCATGAGGTTTTTCTTCCATGGTGTATGGTTTTCCCCTCACCACCACCTCTTTTTCTTTTCTTGTTTCTTTTTGAAGTGCACAATCCAGGGATTCCCGTCTTTGGATCTATTTACACAGAAATGGGATGCTGGCAGGAGCAGACTAAAAGGGATTCCTGCCTCAAAGGGAGGCTGGCTCAGGGGCGCTGTGGCAGCCAAGGTCCAGCTTTGAAACTCAGGCGAGAGGAACCTGTGGCTGCGGCCGCCACATAGCCTGCGCTGTGTGCTGTCTACCTGGAGCCACTGCGTGTGGCGGCTGTCCCTAAGGCTGTGCTATCCCCACACAGGTGCTCCAGGGAAGCATTTCCTGTGTTTCTGATGAGCCTTGGAGCCTGCCAAGGCCACATGTCTCTGGAAGGTCTTCACACAGCCTGGCGTTTCCAAGCAGAGCTGTGGCCCGGCTGTCTGGGCCCCTGGGCTTACTCAGATCAGGTCATCGGGGAGTCTGGACGTTCACCCCTCACCCCTCAGCAGACCTAGCTCATAGTGGGGAGAATTAGAGGCGGTGGGAAAACCCCAAGAGGCCACAGACATGGCCTCCAGAACAAAGGGATCAAGCCTCTCTGCTAGGCCTGCCAAATCTGTTGTTTGGACTCGTTTGGGGACTGTAACTGGTGAAGACACACCTAGCAGTGTTTCATGACAGGCTTGGTCAGAAGGACTGTTGTGTGGTGTGGTAGTTAAACCCTGTCTTGGGCATAGGAGTTGGACAGACTTGAGTCTGAATTTGGCTGCAGGAGGTTGGGCAGATTTCTCAACCTCTCTAAGTCTCAGTTTCCTCCTCTGTAAAACCAGGTGTTTCCAGAGGCTGGACCAGAAGGCAAGGAGACTGGGAAGTGCCTATATCATGGGTTGTCATGAGAACTAAGTAAGATAACACATGTACAACCCTGGTGCTGGGCCTGGGACTGGGACATGCCCAATAAGTGCACCCATCTGCCTGAGAAGCAAAAGAGGCCTGACCTCTGTCCTTTTGGCCTGGAACCCTCTTGGGGAGCTCATCACATCATGAAGGGAAAGCAGAGGCCTCACCTCTTATCACAGGGCCTCAACTGAAATTGTGCCTGAGTCGAGATTGCAAAGAGAAGCCCAAAGTATTAAGAGTTGTTTTCCATGGGAATGTGAAGATTTAGTAAGGAACTGTTCTTCTGGTGTTGCTCAAATTATGGTCTTTCATCTGTGGAACATGGTGGTTTTGCAAATTCTAATTAGTTCCCAAAACACCTTTGTGGGTTTGGCAACTGAAAGCCTACAGGTGAGGAACAGAGGGGGCGAAGTAACTTACCCCAAGGCTGGGAGAACGGCCCCTCCACACGCCCTGGAGAGTTGGTGATGGGCTCTGCTCTGTCCTGGCTGCAGTGGGACAGTATTTGCTTTCTTGTATTAGTTATGCTTAAGCAGAGATCGACATGGAGCCCAGGAACTATACTGACTGTACTGTCACTGACTGACAGGATATGGGGCCAAGGAGGGAGGTGGGAAGATAATTCATTTGTTCAGGGACGGCTTGTGACAGGCCAGTGGTGCTTCCTCTTGAGAGGCATGAAAGCATCCCTGAGTCATTCTTTATGGTACCACAGGTTACTGGCTGACTTTGGCCTAGAATTGTTTGTGGTGGTGCCAGCCAAGTCAGATGGTGATGGGTCCCCAGCTGACAATGTGGAACCACTAAGACTTTTCCTGGCTTTGGCAGCAATGCCTCAATTAGTGCTTTGTGTGTGGATTACAAACTCAGCCTTTTAGATGTATCCAGGGAAACCCAAAGAGCCATTCTTCCAAAATTTGTGTCTGTTGGGCAGCAAAAAACAATCACATGAGGAAGACACGTGTGATTTTATTAATTTTTTCTCCTCATCCCTCTACTCCAGCCCAAATATCTGGTTCAGGACTCTGTAGAAGCATTGGGGAAATCCATGCCAAACCTCCTATAAACAGTCTGAAGTGTTTGTGATGTTTGTCATTTCAAAGGCCTAAAGGAAAGTCATTAGCATGATTGCTTTATCTCTTCCAAAATGTGTTTCTTCCCCGAGAGTCAAGGGCTTCTGTGTCTACACTCTGAGTGCAAAGGGGAAAGGAGCCCTCTCAACCTGCATAGCCGGAGTTTGCACTGGTCCTGCCTGATAGAGGAGTGACAGCACAGAATTCTGCTTGTTTTCTGGGCTGACTTGATTCATCTGCCTTCTGGGCTCACCCGTGTAGGTGGCCCAGCCTCTTTGCATGGCCGCCATGGCATCTTTTTGCATTTCAGTTTTAGGAAGTCATTCTAGTTTAGTTCATGCTGATTGCATAACTCTTAAGAGGTTCCTTCTTCATTGGAATTTTGCTGCTGTTTCCAGAAACCTCCAGTTCTGTACCGTGAGGGCATGTAAGGTCATCTGCTGGCAGGGGTGGTTCATGGGCATGAGACCTGTGAGTTGCACAGTCTCACACTCAGATGGGTGCTAAGCATGGGGTTTAATGCTGTGCAGTTGCAGTACTGAAATTCTTTGTAGTTTTATCTTGGAATTTATATCTTATAAGTGAAGTCCAATGGGACAATGGAGTGTGCACTGGGCCTCGGCTCCCATGGTCCTGCTCCCTTGCCTCTCCCAGGTGGGTTCTTGCCCCCGCCACAGTCTGCCCCTGGCAGGGCCTGGACATAAGGAAAGTTGGGGTTAGGTATATGCACCCCAGGGCATCTTAGGGTAGGACATGGTGGCAGCTGTTCCATCCCCGGCTGGCAGCTCCACGGCACGTGCAGTGCATAACTAGACGGGGCGAGCCTCTCCTGTACCCCTGATCCAGGTACCTAGTGCATCCTGGCATGGAGGTGCTAATACCCTTGAGGATCACCTTGGGTTGGGGTGGCTGGTCCCTGCAATGAAAAAATACCCAACTGGATTTCCCTCCCCCCAGCTGGGTCACAGTACATGGGTCCAGCTCCCAGCAGGTGGTGGGTCACGTGTGCACTTGCACACTGTCACCGGGGCCCCTGTGACACTGTCACCTCACCTGTGAGGAGCTGTGCTCACCTTGCAGTTATCCTCATACCCAAAAGAGAGCAAGGACATAAACAGCCAATAACATCATGGCATGCACAACAGTGTGAATGTACTTAATGCCACTGGCACTGTACAGTTAAAAATGGTTAAAATAGTAAATTTTATGTTATGTATATTTTATCAACAAACAAATGTTGTAAGGTGTTTAAAAAACAAAAACAAAAAATGACAGGTGGAGAGAGAGACTGTGGACAGAAGGAAAAAGCTTTGCTTTAGTAATTCTAATAGGCACAGTTTTACTGCTCTTTGAACAAGGGGTCCAGCATTTTCATCTTGCACTGAGCCCCCACGTTGTGTAGCCAGGCCTGCCTGTTGGCCACTTTGTAAAACTCCCCAGTCTTTACCTTTCAAGGTGCCTACCCTCGAATCCTGAAAGTCGTTTACTGAACAGACTCTTACCTTTTCTCTCTTCTTCTTCCTTACAGGTATTTTGTTGGCTGTGTGCCAGGCCCTGGAGAACACCACGTCCGCCCTGAGTGGTGAGTCCCGTCCCCTCAGTGTGGGATGGTGTGTGGAGGATGGGAAGGGAGCAGACTCTGGCTACTTTGGGGAGCCTAAGATCTAAGCTTCCTCCCCAGGCACCTGCCTGCTGAGCTCATGCCCAGTTGTCCCCTGAGCCATTTCTGCCCTTTGTCCCAGGGGCCAAGGTTCCCCTCCTGGGAAGTCTTAACTGCAAGCCTGAGGGGGGCTGTTCCCCCAACCCCTCAGGGCTCTCTCTCTCCCATCTCTCTGTTCAGACAATCAGTGTGGGCAAGGCTGCTGGAAAGCAGAGCCTGCAGGACCCACAAGCTCGGAACTGTCCCCATTTTTCTAGCTCACGTAATAATCCATCTAAAGAAGAACTCACATTCCTGAACCCTCTTGTCTGCTTCTGCCTGGTGATCTTTGTTTAGTTATTTTCTGGTTTATCTTTTGACATTCGTAGTAATATTTTCGTTATTTCATTTTAAAGATCCTAGGTCAACAGATGGAAACTTGGAGAAAGGTAGAAGGCGAGCCACCCATGATCAGAAGCATCCACTGTTACATATGTGCATTGCTTTTAGCCTTTGTCACATGCACTAATATTTTTATACGATTAGTCATGGTGAGGAAACTGTTTTGATTCCTGCTTTTTAAACTCAAGGTTTGGAGTTATGTATTTTTCTATGTTGCTGGAAAGTCTTAAAATTTATCCTTTTAAAATGTCATGATGTCCCATTAAAATGCACATGTATAGGGGGCCAGCCTGGTGGCATAGTAGTTAAGTTCATGCGCTCTGCTTCGGCAGCCCAGGGTTCGCAGGTTCGGATCCCAGGCGTGGACCTACACACCGTTCATCAAGCCATGCTGTGGCAGCATCCCATATACAAAAATGTTAGCTCAGGGCCAACCTTCCTCACCAAAGGAAAAACAAATGGACATGTGTAATTTAATTAATCGTTCTCCATTGGATATTTATGTTGCCTCCAGTTTAATTATCATGCTACATCTTCATGCCTAGAAGCTTTTTCCTTCTTTTGGATTCTTTCATTAAGGTATATCTCTAGGAGCAAGAGTAAATATATTTATGACCCTCGGTATGAATTGCCAAATCACTTTCCAAGTGAATTGAGCTGATTTTTCTGCCAGCAATGCATGAGTATGCCAGTTTCACTCTTCCCTTGTTGCCATGGAGTAGGCTCCCGTCTGTTACTGCAGTGGCCCCCTGCTCTGTCTCCCCCTGGTCTTTCAGGGAGGTCGCAGGAAGGGGGTATATGTTTCTTACACATTAATAAATTCTCTAATCAACCACACAGTGTCCCTGGTACTTTGCTCTTTCCTCTTCCAGACCTTTCCCTCCAAACACTGGAGGTGATGCTGCCACTCCCACCAGGTGCCACTGCTTCTGCAGCCCCACAGTCTCCCCTTGGAGCTCTCATTCTTGATGCACTTGAACCATTAAGGTGTCCAAGGCACTTGGTGGTCCATGATGACATAAAGAAAATGACTCTCTTCCTCCGTGTTGTGCTTTGTTGGGTCTGGTGGTGGAAGGGTGTGTCCATCCCAGAGCAGTGCTTCTAGGGCCCAGGGTCTACCAGAGTTTCCATGAAGCAGTTCTTTCACTTTTTAATTACCTCCCACTTCACAAAAGGCTTAGGTGTGAATAGATGGGCAGGGGGATAGCTTAGTGACTCCCACATGCTGTTCTCAGAATTGACCCCCTTCCTAAGATCCATTTAGCCACAGGTGCATCCTCAGCCCCTCCTGGTCCTCACAGAAGGACCTGGTAGGCAAAGATCTAGGTTCTCTTCTGAGTCACTTGCAGGTGACAGGTTGCAATGATGGCAAATGCTGATGCTACCATCCATGGGGAGGGGGTAGTCTGGTTGTTTTACCCCCTCCTCCCAGTCTCCATCCATTCATACAAGAAAGGCCTAGAGGATGTGGTACTTGAGGCTGTTCCCTCCAGGGCCCAGTGTGGCTCCTGCCTAGGCCCTTTGGGTTCCCTAGTCTCTCCTGGGCAGACATGGGAAGACCTGCTACATTCATCCAAAAAGTGACTGTCCTTGCTGCAGTAGTGACCAACCTCTGTTCCATGTTTCCTTTCTGGGCTTGCTTCTGTGAGAATGTCTCTGAGAGCAACAAGTGCCTGTGGTTTACTCTCCTTCATGAGGCATAGTAGTTGTACCCAGCTATGGTGCACATTACCCTGTAACTGGCTGAGTGCCACTCTGTAGCCCAGTGAGAGCAGGGGCAGTGCCACAACTTCTAGTGTCCAGGGGGCCTTAAGACCCCAGAGTTGGTTGGTGGTCTGTGGAGAAGGGAGGTGGGCTGCCTGTCTGGCCTCTGCATGGCTCTTGGTTTGATGGGTTACTGAGCTATGAGACTTATGCCCCAGAGAAGTTAGCAGAATAGCTCTTTCCACTTTTACTTACACTCTACCCTGCCCTATTGAACGCAGACTGGAGTTCAGAGAGGGCTAAGTTAGGAGACAAGTCCAAATTGTGATGACCATGTCATAGCCACCCCTCCAAAGGCTAGGGCTTTGCAACTGAATCAGGCTTGTTTGCTTAAGTTTCTCTTCCCTTAGGGTGACCTTCCTGTCTCCTAGAAGACTCCTCAGGCCCTGGTAGGCCTTGACCACCCCCACCCTACCTCCACTCTGTCCTCGCCAGACATGGCTGAAATCCTGTGGTGGGTGCAGCTCAAACTGGGGACCAGCCTCACTCACTACCCCAGCACTGGAGTGTGTATTTAACTCTTGGCTAATTCAATAAGTAAAATTATTTATTAATGATTGCTATAGAAATCTTCATACATAGAAGTGAAATAGTAGTGAAATCAGTTCCCATATACCCGTCACCCAGCTTCAACAATTGGCATCACTCTGCCATTTTTCTTTCATCTATTCCCCCAGCTTTTTGATTTTTCCCTTTGCTGGGATATTTTAAAGCAAAGCCCGTTTCACTTGTGAATATTACTTTATATCTAACAGATAAGGACTTTTAAAAACAAAACCATAGTTCGATTATAGTAACAAAAACTACAGGAATTCTTTTTTGTTACATCCTTAAATATGGAGAGTCGATGATGCTGCATTCAGTTTTGTGGCACTTCATTTAATTTGCATTTCCTTTAATGTTCTTGTACTTTGCTTTCTACTTATATTTCCTTTCAGGTGAACACTGTTTTTGTAAAATGTGCTCATTTATATACTGAGTAACTGAGTTGCACATCTGAGTCCCTCCTATATCCCCTTATGCTCTGGATGTTGGTGGGCTCATTTACTAAATCCCAGAACTATCCATTAGATGTGAAGATGGGTCATTTTAGAACAGAAGCTACAGGGTTTTACCCATGACGTAAATATGCAGGTCTCTTCACTCTGAGAATTGACATAAGAAGGGCTTGATCCACTCCTGAATGATAGAGCTGGAGCAAAGGACTGCAGGCATGCTCAGGATTAAGCTCGAACATTTTGATGGAGCATCACAGAGAGAAAATTGCAAACTCCATGTGCCAACCAAGGGTGGTACATGAGCTTGAGGGAACATGGGCTGATCCCACGTGGCTTTCTTGTGCTTTTTGAAAAAAAATTCCATGTTCTTATTACTTGACAGTTCTCCTTGGCCTTTCTTGTTGAGGTTTCATTGGTTTCTTCTAATCTTCCTCTCTCTTAGACCCCCGAATGTAGAGAGTAGATGATGCCAGAGGCATAGGAACCTGGCATTATTGTCATCAGTAAACGCTTCTGAGACAGCTACTTGAGGTGGGACATTGCAGGGATACATGCCTTAGGCTAAAGGTCAGGAATCCTGGGTGTTGGGCCCAGCTGGTCTCAGTTTTGCCAAGTCCCTGGGCAGGTTATTCCTCTGGTTCCTGTTTGGATCTTAGTTTCCTCATCTGTTGGACTTGAATCAGGAATAGCCTGTGAGATTTTTCACATGACCACTGTGATGGATTGGTCGAGACTACTTGGAAAGCTTTGTTGAGAAGCATTATGAGGCTGCCTTCAGGCTGTTGGGAAATACAGTGGTGATCAATTGATGATGCCTGCCGTGGGCCTAAGGTAGGGACGTGGTAATGTGACTGCCATGTATTTAATTCTCTGGGATCAGATTCCATTTTACATTCAGGTTCTAACATTCTAGTTGCTGGAATTATACAAAGAAACCATCCTTCTTTGTCCTTGTCCTCAAAGAGCCCACCACACAGGTGAAAAGACAGCATGAGACCCCATAACAAGAGCCTCATAGTGACACAAGGCAACCTCAGCTGACTGCTTAGTGTGTGCTTTAGAAAATGTTTGCTCCGAGACTGAGATCAATAGTCTGGTGGTTAGGACCAAAAATTTTTATCTGATTGGTTGTCAATTTGTAAAGCGTGCAGAGAAACATTAGCTGGAGGCAGGTTGAGGGTGGCAGCGCTTGCAGCTTAGAACATCTGTCACACCCTCCCAAGGAAGGAGTTATGACCTATCTCCAAAAGCGCCTTTTAAAGCCCCTTAAAAGAGTTAGAATGCACCCAGTTAAGTTGTTGGGTGGCTCCTTGCTTAACCCTCCAAAATGTTGCACAGTTCCCGGGCCGTCCATCTGGTTCTCATATTTTCATGAGACTCCCTCTAATAACTGAGGGGTGTGGTGACAGCCTTGCTCAGGCACCTGGCAGCCAGGCTCCAGACTTCCCTCTGTGATCTGCCTTGCACTAGCTGGGTACTCTGTGGCTCTTTAAACCTCTGAACTTCTGCTCCTTCCTCTCATCTGTGTCTAATGTCACCCCCCTGGAATGGGGCAGTATTTGAAGACTTACTTGATTTAGTGTCTGGGAGCCTTTTCAGAGGCAGTGATGAAAGAACATGGAAAATTCACAGTGGTGTTATTCATAGGAAGGTCAGCAGGATCCGCTTGCTTGGGGAGATGGTGGTCAGATTTTGCTGGGGACGTTTGGAGGGCGAGTTTGGGCTGGGAGTGCACAGAGGGAAGGCAAATCAGATTACAGGGAAAAGTCTTTGAAGGCA